CGGGCAGCCCCCGTGCCTCCGGACCCTGCGCCGCCGGAGCCCGGGAGGGGAAGTGCCCGGCCGGCGGCTGGGGTCCAGAGGCAAGGGGGCTGCCTGAAGCCCATAGCGCTCGGGCAGCTCGGCTCTTAAACAGAGCCGAAGAGTCAGGGGAGGAGCAGAGCCGCCATTTTCCCGGACATGTTCGGCTTTTTGGCAATTCCCCCCGGACGGGGGGGTTGAGTGCCGAAAAGCCGGACATGTCCGGGAAAAAGAGGACGTATGGTAACCCTAATCAAGCACTCAATAAGAAGACTATAATGCATACAGTTGGCAATATTATTCAAGCATTCCTGCAGAGCAAAGACTGAACTTGAAGGGACCAAGGGGATTAATATGTATATTGGATAGGAGGGGAGAGTGGGCAGAACCTTTAACAATGTACTTCTGGTCCATTGATTTGATAAATTAGCAAAATACAAGTTTCATTATGTTCTTCAAAACCATATTTAGGATTCTATTTTTTATCCTTGCAATATACAGCAGGCTCTCTAATTGAAACCAGGGTATCTTTTTAAATATAACATTTCTCATAAGCCGTGGTAAAGTAAATGTGAATAAATAGAAGTGGTGGTTTTATATGCCATCTTTTGCATTTCTTTAACATTTTATTTTGAAAATGTTTCATTTTCAACAGATTTTACTACACTCTTGCTATAGTACTGTATTTGAAATAATGCCTTTTACACATACACAAATATGTTTATCTTGGAAACACAGCTGTTGCACATGTGCAACAACTTTCAGAAGTGTTTCAAATGCTTTTCATCCATAGAATTAGTGCATCTGTGATACGTTATGCAGCATACTTTGTACATAATCACATTGACATGATAGATTGAAGTTTATTGAGTCAACAGTTTTTAAAAGTCAGTAAATGCAGATTGACATGAGACACCCCTGAACAACTTGCTGGTAAAAAACAATGTGCGTTTAATAAATTTCCATAAATATATGTTAATGCTGTTCTCAGCTCCTAGTCACATTAATGACTTGTTTTTAAATTGTTGTTGAAATATTGTTAAGGCTTTTACTTTAACGAGGTTGTGCCAAATCAGAGTTAGGGATGAAATGTTTTTCTTAAACTGCCCCATTGTGTTGACGTTGGGTGACTTCTTGCCCTCCCCCCATTTTTTTTATATGTAGAGTTTTGTATTAAAACTATATAAAATATAGAAGAGCTATTTTAAGGAAGGATCAGGCTCAACTCTGAACTTCTTGGCTTGCCCATTCTTAAATCGTACCTTAATACTATTTTAACAAGAGGTTCTTTTTATGTACATGACAGCTGTAAACTAAGATTTTTTTTCTCTAGTTTATTCAGTTAGGGCCAGATTCTGCTATTCATACACGTTAAGTGATTCCTTGCTACACAAGTAAACCACTAATTTAATTAATTATGGAGAAAGATATTTCTTATTGTGAATAAGGGTGGCAGATTGGGTTGTTAACGTGCAAGCTAAACACAGAGTCCTTTATAGTGGCTCTTATAACAAAATGATTGTGATCATTACATTTATTTTCTAAAACATTTGTGCAGAACAGATAAATACGCTTAATGTTTTATAATGGTGTTTAAAGAGAAAGTTCAAAGCTAATTTTGTTATGACTGATGCACGTAACAAAATCCCTAGTTTTCAATCAGTCTAAACAAAGTGAAAAATGCTCTAATGATGAATTTTCTTGAGAAAAGGCATTTGCTAGTTTACCCTGTGACTTTAAACCATGACATTCATAAAAGTTATGCTGCAATGTATTTTTAAATAACTAAGTTGTATGCTGATTCTTTTTATACCATGGATAATTATGGAGGCAGAGGTTGAATTTCTTGACTTGCTAAATAAATAGGGAAACAGATGCTCAGTGCTTATGTTAAAGTTCTTTTCAAATAAACTGTGCTGCCAAGAAACCGTTCAATAATATGGCTCAGCTCCACACTCAACCTCGGGAAGGGAAATCGCTTTGGCCTTGGGTAAGTCACTTAACCTCTCTGTGGCTCAGTTTTTGCATTTCGAAAGAGGGGAATAATACTTTGCTACCTCACAGGTATAGGTCTGATTTGACATGAGTAATTGGACCTGGGTGAGGCCTTATTTGTTGGGAGACAGGATTAAGGAAGGAAATGGATCAGCAAGCTGGAAACAGAATGTCTGAACTAGCTAAGATAAGGGGGAACACCCAGGGAACCATTTACAACCGACAAGATAATAATGGATAAGGTAAGCCTGGAACATAAAATGAGGTAAAAAGTAAGTAGTGCACGGACAGTGCATGCTGTATAAGGATTGGTTCTTTCAAAGTGACGAAGCCAGTCCCAAAATGTAAGATGCAGTGCAAATGGGTAAATTTAAATAAAAGAGGAGGTTTGCTGAGTAACTGGATGTGTGCCCTATATCCACCCCGACACTTGAGTCTGATCAACTCCACGCAGCTTTGCCGTACTCCTGATAAGGGAAGCTAAGTGATGAGACTGGAGTTGAACTGAGTTCTTGGGGAACCTAGTGGAAGAGGTCTTGCGGGAACCCCAAAACAGTAGTGCCATGACTTGAATCCGCTCGTCTTGAGTATGTAATGTATACACCCATTAGTGTGGGGGTCATAAGCTAGCATTTAGGGAAATGGCTTTAAAAGGGTTTAAGAATTTAAATATGAAGAAATAAATACCATGCTGGAGAATGGGTTAAATTTAAGGGCGGCCCCTATGAACTCCCCCAGAGAAATTTTATGGGGAGACTCAGACTGAGTGAAAAAGGAACTCCAGAGAGTGGTATTAGATTATTTTAAAAAGTGCTTGGCAAAGCATGGCAGAAGTCCATTAAATACCATACATAAATAAATGGCAGAGCACAGCAAAGGTCTATTGAATACCTCTAAAATTTTCAAGAAGCAGGACCCATTGGCAGCCATAGAAAAAAATGGTATCTAGATGGAAGTCTCTAAATGTGCAATGTATAAATAATAGTCTGTATTAGGTCAAAATTCACTTCTAGGAAATATAGGAGTGTATTTGGGGTCGTGGGAATGAGGTTCCACTGCACACATTTTTTTTTCAGGAACACTGATGACTTGGATTTTTTTAAGTGGCCCCAAAAAATGGAAGTTTCTCTGTGAGTCCCCTTTCATCAGTGATATAGTGTGAATTGTTTTCCTCTTCTGCTGATGCTTATATGGATTTCTTGCTCAAGGGAGAGTGGGCTGGCCTGAGAACACCAACACCCAAATGTGGTTGTGCCCCACTCTCCTACCGGTCATTTCAGCGCAGGATTGATGTAAGGCCTGCCAGGAGAGGCTTAAGGAGAGAAGAACTGCTTTGTTCCCCAGAACCAGTAGAGGGGTTCTGGGAAGTGAAGACAAGTCCTTGCCCAACCCTATGCGGAATCCTTGTGCTATTGCCTCTGGTTTGTTGGTTGTTCATAGGGTCTGGCTGGGGCCACCACCTTCCTGATGCAGAACAGTGCTTCCTTTAATCCACAAATGGATTTGGAGGTGGTGTGCATGTTCGTATGCTGCTAGATATTTTCTGAACTCTACAGCTATGTATAGGTGTTGGAAAGAAGTGGGCTACCTGCATACCCTGTGGAATGGAAGAATGGGCCTGTTGCCCAGTTTCCAGTTGCTCCCCACCCCAAGTACAGTCTGTTCCTTCTTGCCCTGTCTATGCTCCCATTGTTTGCCAGTTCCATTCAGAGATCCCAGGAAAAGGGTCCCCCCAGCTCCAAACTCAACTAATAGCAGCTCTGCTACTGATAAATACCCTCCAGTGAAAAATATGCATGTAAGCTTCCACCGGAGCAGTGCATAAGTGATGTTGCCATGCTAGCGCATGAGCCAGGAAATGTAACAGGCCATCAACAAAACAGTGAAATTGACTATATACAAAGTGCTGACAAATACACAAAATAAACTGAGAAAATACACACATATATGTATATCACTTGACTTCTTTCAGTTTTAGAAATTTAGGTGTTACTTGCAACTCTATTAGGTTAAAAAAACAACTTAGTGAATGTTTTCAACCTACACTGTCCCTTTAAGACTACTGTACATAATGTAAACTTCTCCCTTGATTCAAAATAAGTTACTTACTAGGACATATAGTTAGACATCACTTTAATTTAACTTTAAAATCTTAATATTTTGTCTTTGTTCAATCTGTGCTTCTTATTTTCTATTTCAGCAACTTGAATGGTGCTTTCTTCAGGGCCATATGAAACAATTATTTCCCCCATTGAATGAATCATTTTAAGGAGTAGCTTGAATTTTCTGCTTCTCTTTGATAAGTCTCATATATAATCATATGGTAGTTTATTCAGGTATAGGGAAAAAAGTCACTTCTTTCCTTATTAAAAATTTGTCTTCTGATCTTTTTGTCCATATTCTTCAGAACTTTCTCAAAAGCAGTCTGTACTGAAGTAATCGTGAGTGTACTCTATTCAATAATTAAGGATTTCTTAATACCGATAGGAACTTTCTTACAGTTTGTAGTTCCCAGAGATGGTAGTTGGTGAACAACAGAACAGGAGCTGGGTTGATGATACCACCTTCCCTAAATATAATTTATATAAAGAAGTCTGCACTTTTAAAAGACATGTTGCTAATTTCTTCCCATTCTTTCTCCTCAATATTTTAGATGTTCAGTAGGCTCAAACATTCAACTTCATATTAAAATAGTTACTTTCCTGAAAATGCCAGTGGGCTTCTAGTGGGACTTCAGCTTGCTGCAGTACTTTAAGCCTATAGCGTCTCTCTAGGCAGTCCATAACAAGTGGATATGTTGTGGGCTCAAACTTGTTGGCAAATAAATTAGGTGATTCAATGATCCACTGTAAATCCCCCAGTCCATAGACACAAATATCTCGGATGTAATGACCTGCAAAGACAAAATGTAAATATATTAACAATTCCAAGCTGACTGAAATGCAGAAGGTTCACAAAGTGGGGAATAATGAATTAGATGTTTTTAAAAATACTTTAAGGTGCTACTAACATTAATGACAAATAGATGTATCTGCTTATTGAAGTAAATCTAAAGAATATTACTGTTTTGTTACTTATAAAAACAAGGGGCTACATACTGATTATTGATTTTAGACAAAGGGGTGTACATTGTACCCAGACTTGCTGCTTCAGTGACACATTGCAGTGCTTCATGTTGCTCACTTGACCTGTTGGTGGTCTGATCCCATGCTCTCCTCTGGGGTACAACAATTCATTCATCTTGTTTTGTCCTGTCCCCAAATTTCCTCTGTGCTTAGTTTATGGCAGTTACAGGTTTAAATGAAAGTAGGTGATTGAATACTCAACCAGGGTCAAACTGCTCTTTAGACATCAGTATATTTCCGCATTTTTGCCTGTATTGCTGGACTACACATAGGCCAACCCTGAGTTACCTTGTGGACACATGCACACTCACTTGTTGAACGTGCATATTTGTCAAATGGATGTCAAGTAAATCTGTTCTCTTCTGTTTAAGGCGAACTACTAAGGTTCGTGCACTGGATACATGTTCATTTAATAGGTGGGAATTATGTGAGTGTGCAATGGCTTGTAAAAACACTAGTTTAAGCTTTAATGCTACTGAAATGTTAAATGTGTGGAACTCGGTCATTAACTCACTTAATTATAGAACTATCTTCTTAGTTGGGGGTTAAAAGAACAGTTTAGTAAATAGGTACTGTAACAGTCTGCAGTATTCGAAGATATCAAAAGATATTTGGACTGGGTATAAGAGTAATTTAGTATGGTTGCTTTTATTTGATACTTTAAAAAAATAAAATATCCATGACTGAGACATTTCATGGATAATTATGAAACATAAGAATTATTCTGCAATGGATGTTAGAGCAAGTGCATCAATTTATCTGATAGTGGTATTTCATAAATACAGTGTTTTGAAAGGGCCTAGTTCTGTTTTCAGTTATCACATTACCTTTGCAGCCATTATGTGCAACTCCTTCTTGATCTTTCCATTTAATAGCTCGTATATTTCCTTCCCACTGTGCATTTGGTGTAGCAGCTGGAGCATCTAAAAAAAATCAAACCAAAGCTAAAGACAGTGTAACACAAATAATGTTGATTGTCTTTGAAGCTATCTTTTAAAAGTATTGCCTTATTGTTTCTTCATTTTACAGATATTAAAAATGACAGATAATAGAAATATCAAATAGGTTTGCCCAATTTATTGCTCCATTAGAACAAGTAGTCTATACAGGGGGTTAGGGGACATGCTTAAAAGCTGCATTTTTCTAGCCCAGTAACTAGTGGTCTGCACTGCCATTTGTGATACTTGGAATACTTAAAGATTCCATCTTTTATTTCCCAAACCATCAGGGGATGTGGACACTGCAGTACATCCACTGAGGATGGAGGAAATAACCTCTGCAGCTGATATACAATGGCATCACTGGGTTCCAAAGGGAACCTCATCACTCTCCTGGGCTGAAATGTCATAATAATGTGGGACAAGGAGGCAATTCATGGTATAAATAACATGCATCTTACCACTTAAACGATTCAGTGTGACCCAGTAGTGCTCATCTGGACTGTATGTGTCCTTTGACCATTCAAGCAAATCTTTTGCACGTACATCGGTCAGTGTAAACTCCACAAACTTTCTAGTGAGTACATAGTAAGCAGTACCAAAATATATAGTTAAGTTATGTGGAGGATCATCTTTCATATTCTTGGTTGGATACACGTAGGATGTTCCTGAATGTACATATTCTTTGTAACTAAGATGCGTCCTATGTTTCATATGAGGAGGTTGGACCACCCCAGGAGTAATATTTTTATCATTCCATTTACTTTTGATGTACTGTATAATTTCTTTGTTTGTTTTGATGGGATAATCCTGGCCACACAGATTAATAACATAATTCCATTGAGTTTTGGCATTAACTAAGTCCTTCATACAATTAATATCAGCTTGTAATCTTGAAAATCCTGCATAAACAACATTTTCTCTTTTTGATGAAATAAAAATGTTTTCAAAGCAGTTAACTAGGTTTTGCACTGCAGTTTTGTAATCCTGTGGTGACTTTTCATCTATGTGTATGCAATAAACATTCTGAGGCAGATAAATGGCTCTGAGTAGCTTCACAAACATTTCTAACTCCTTGTGAATTGTGATGATGTATGCCAAGGAGAAGTTTCCTTCTTCTTCAGATAGTGGTCTTGTTATAAAATGCAGACTCTTCAAGACTGTAGAGCAATTGCATGGAGTCCGTATGCAGTCAGGCATTTCAGGTTGGTGAATAATCTGACACACACTTCCAATTTGAGGTGCAGCACTTTTCCCCTCAAAAAGCGCTGAACAAAGTTCATCTGGATAAACACCACATTCTGCTGTATCTGGGAAGGATTTTTGTTCACTTGGTACCTTAGAAAATGTGTTTCTTACATAGATAAAAGTGAAGATGAAAATACAGAGGCCAATGCACACTAAAAATCCTGATTTTGTTGCATCAAGTTGGTTCATTTTTTGCTCTCTAGAAACTTTCTTCTGACCATAGTTCAATTAAACATAGTTCAAATTACCTAAAAGGGGGAGAAAATAGTGTTTTAATTTCTTTAACCTGATGAAGCAATTATGCATTTATAGATGCAGAAATTGTATTCTTAGTATTGCATAGAAGTGCTAAATTTCACAAGCACCAATATGGGAAGGCAGTTAGGAATAAGTGTCACATTCTAAAATAAACTTTAACTTTGTTCCCCCACCCTGTGTTCACCCTTATTGACAATAAGGAGCTGAACATATCCGCTGTTGCATTCTCTGCAGATTCCAATTATTACTTACATTAGCTGTATTTTTTGTTTTTTCTCCTGTGTCAGCCCAAGAGTTATTAAATATTTTAATCTCTTTTGACAGCTGTTATTAAATGGATGCTCCTCCCACAGGAGTAGATAGGACATACCAGATACGTTTTGACAATACTAAAGCTTCATATCTCTCTCTCGGATAGGTTTAGCTGTAGAAAAACTACTAAAATAAGAGCCAAAGATCACAATGTGATCCACAAAGGTATCTCTATACTTTTGTTACCATCGTTATAATAAAAAGTGAGCCATGGTTCATTTGTTTTTTGTCTGTAACGTCTTTAAATTAGTGCTTTTGAATACAAAACCTGAAAACACAATGCATTTTCTTGTTTTTAGCTTACTTAAACCTATCCTAAAGACAATAGCTGTAATTTACTTTCTAACATGTATAGATCAGTCGATTCAGTTCTGTTACAGCAAAATTGTTTAGAATTTCATGTTTTATATGTGAAAATATATATTTTTACAGATATCTCAGATCATAAGCATGACATTACAGCAGTCCAGTCTCCCAAGTCATTAGTCCTTATCCGTGAAGTATTTGGCATAGGATATATACCTTCCTAGAAAAGAAAAGACATTCAATGAAATTGATAGAAGTCCTAAAATAATATTTATCAGACTAACAGTTTTACTTGTAATTGTAAAGACAATTCATGCTTTCTACTGCTTCATGTAATACTTTTTTTAACCTTTATTTAAGTTAACTGCTTGTAGCAAAATATTGATATTTCACACATAAATGTAGCATATTTTGCATCTGTCAACATCACTTGATATCAGAATTTTTCATTAGAGTCTCATGAGCAAAGAAAATCAATGCAGTTTATTAATTTAGATCTTTCCATAGCTATTTCTTACAATCTTAAGATTTCATGCTTTTCTTAAAACAAAAGTTTCTCGTTTTTCAAATAGAAGATCAAATAAAGTAATTTTGTTTTCAAGCTTCTAAAGCATTACGAACAGAGGATAACACAACTCAACACAAATCGAAGTTGAAAATTGGAGATCTTCTATAACATATAATCTTTAAATCTTATTAGACTTTTGACAAATAATGTATTTATCATATTGTCCTTACTAGAGAGCACAGGATTTCAAGCTGGAAGAATGTCTTATTTTTCCCCTTCAGCACATTAATCCATTTTCTGGAACACTAGATGGAAGATTCATCCATTTTGCTTCTATGCCCTAACTGTGCGTCAGTCAGCAGTACTCTTCAGTATGCACTGAACACGCAGGCCTAAGAACAACATTATGAAATCAGGTCCCAGAAGAATATTTTCTTAGTGGCTCATAAGGGATATGTTTACTTTGTAAACATGTATCTGCAAGCATGATTTTAAGTGAGTCTGTTGCATCTCTTGAAGCTGAACAATTCAGCACTCACATCAGCATCAACCTTTTCATGTTGTGGAGAAAGCAAGAGGAGAAGAATGTCTTTGAAAGATAGACACAAGCGTTTTCACAGCAGAAATGAAATGTGACAGGCACTGGGAGTGTAGCCTGCTGCCAACTGACTAACAGATCCAAGAATAGGTTAGTATAATGGACATTATGTACCCAGTAGCAGGGTTTACGGGGCTGAGGGTTTGCTACAGTAGGGTGGCACTGGCTTTGTCTTAGCGCCAGAATAACTGTTTTATAATGAGTGAATGATTAAAAAGAGAACAGAGAAGTCACTCTGAATTAGTGAATGGTGGGATCTCTAGGGCATGTGTCACATGGGACATTCACTGTGCTGGACATCAGCATAAGTGTTGCATTGAAGGACAGGAAATGCAAAGTTATTAAAAGGTATTGAAAATCCACTAGCATATAAATTTTTATAGGGCTGCTATCTATATGCTTTAGAACCAGATTAGGAAATGCAACATCTCTGCAGGAGGAGGAATTTTTTTCTTGAAATATTATTTAATGGATAGATTTAAAAACTGAGAAATCAAACTATAGTCTGTTTATTACTTATATTTAAACAGTCTTTAAAACAGTCAAACCCATAAATAGCATCCTCTAGGGGTTTTGCATGAGATTATTAGGATTTGTCTTGGGTTTTTCTATAGTGCTTAGCATTGTAGTAGCTAAGCATTATAAAGAGTTTTGGTTTTTGTATAGTATCATAGATATATACAGCACTTCACAAACATGTAAGAAGAGAAGATTCCTTCCCCAATATATATTTCTTAGACATTTTAGGAATATGCATAATATTTTAACTCCAAATGTAAAAAATAAACATAAATGGTGAAAAATCCACTTTAACATTTTTTTCATGGAATCTGTTTTATTTATTGTAGCACTAACTGGCCTCAGTCAGGATTGGGACCCCAGTGTGCTAGGTGCAGTACAGAGAAAAAAAAGCCCTGGTCCGCAGAGTTTACAGTCTAAGAAAGATAAAATGCATGGAAGGATTGAGAGTAGGAAGGAGACAAGAGAACAGTAACAAGAATATACATAAGTTTTACATAGGATATATAAATATCAGAAGTCTCTGCTAACAATCTACCTAGATGTCTTTAACTTGTATGTCCCCTTAGTGAAGGTGACTGTATTTAGTTTAAAATAATAGTGATGTCAGTGGTTTATTTTCACTATTAATCTCATTTTTCTTGTGCCAGTTGTTACTTAATTTTTTTGTGATGGTACTGCAAACTTTCTGTAATATGCTAACATTTAAAGGCAAGTAAAGCATTAAGGTCAGGTTGAAATTGCCTCCTTTCTGCACAAGGCTTGAATAGGCAAGCTTTGTGTGGAAATACAGAATTCCATAAAACCCATCATGAGGCCATGGGGCTAAAACACAAGCCCTCCACAGTCACTGTACCAGCCTGAAAGCTTGAAAAACAGCTGTTGCTTTTTCTATGCCTCTCAATGGGAAGTTTGGGCCACTGGATATATGAATATCCTGTAACCCCTATCTGACCTTACAGGCAATATATTGAGCCAATATGGAGAGCCTCCTGCAAAACCAATCTGCCCATACCTCCATCTGCCCTCGAAGGGGCAGTGTGTATGGAGGACCTTTGCTCAAGCCCTCTGTACGTGGGTGAACTTGAATTTGCATATACTAAAACAAAAATATCTACAAGTATTCATCATAAGCAAAGAGTTATCATGGTTATAGACCTGATACTCAGGGTACCTTGTTACATTATGGCCAGTACTTTCAAACTTAGTTACATATGTGTCTTGATTCAGAGGTGCTGAAGTCAATGATTATTTTGGGTGCTTGGCACCTCTGTTCGGTATAAATTTTAGGTGCTGAATTGAGGCACTCAATTGAAAATTTCGGTTAACATGTTAAAATTCCAAGGTTTGTATGTGGTGACTTTTCTGGATAGTATGGGAGGTGGGGGGTGGGGGAAGAAACTATTGGGGTAAGGTAAAATTCAAACATCTTAATTTGAGAAAGTTAGCTAAAAAGCAAAGTGAATTTATCACAAAACATTACTTGTAGAAATACGTCCACATACTAGTCAGTTCAGTTAATCAAGACCCCATTATGTAGCTTCTGATATATTTAATTGCTTATTTACAAAACTAAATTCAGATCAGTTAAAACAATTTTGCTTGTTAGCATCTCTCCCTGCCCTCATATTCTGGCCCAATCACTGAATCCCTAAATCAGCTACTGCATATGCACTTGTGGTATTTCTTTAAAGTTAAAGTTTAGTTAAACTTCAGTTCACACATCTTCATAATTTAGTGAATCAAATGCCTTTAGAAGAGAATATATATTATAAAGAAAGTAAGGGGTTAAAAAGCACTTATGCTTCATTTCAAAGTTTGTTTTTTTTCTATGTACTCAGGTTGTTTGTTATCTGATTAAAGAGAGAGTTATACAACAGATGGTGGTAGAATTATATAGGGAAGTGAGCAATAAAATTCTAAAAAAAGTTACAAAGTCCAAGCCTACATTCTGAAAGAAAGTAATAGTAGTGAATGTCGCTTTATTGTATCCTTACTTCTTACAACTGTTTTTTAAATAAATTGTTATGGGCCTTATCCTACACTCCGTGAGGTAAATGAAAATTTTGCTAGATTGGACTCCAAATAAATACTTTCTTTGAAATTAAAATCCTTTTGACACTAAAAGATGAATATTGGATCAGTACTGACTAGAACCTCAAACAGGTTTATGAAGGCTAATAGTTTAGCTGTTTTCTTCGTTTACTGCACAAAATTTTTGAGCACTGCTATTTAATGCAAATGCTACTACAAAAGCTGTAAAACACTGGGTTATGCAGTTGTAAGAAAATGAGTTGTTTGCTAGAAACCTTAAATTGCAGTTACAAGATCTTGAATTTTATAAAGATTTTAAAGCTTTGATTTTTACATATAATGACCTTCTTCATAAACATACATAACAGGAACTGTATTTCGCAGACAAAAGCAATATATTGAAAAACACTTTTAAAACTAAATGCAATGTTTTGGTCAATATTAAAGCATTCTTTATAGTTCTCTTAAGGGATGTTGCAATAAATAAATCTTAAAACCCAGCTTATGGAAACTCACCTTGTACAAGAGAAGCCAGACATTTGCAGCAGAATTTAATAAAGAAATCCCATGTGTAATCCATTGTCCTTCGGGGAAAATTCAGGCTAAGTCCTTCATTTTGTTCCTTATGTGGAAACGTCATGTGAAATCAGTTAAATATTAACATGAAATGTTTTCATTTACTGGTTAGTTCACTTAACTGCATAATATATTTGTTCTGCAGTAGCCCCTTTAATATTCAGAAGCAGCAATGTCCTCTAATGTAATAATGAAAGAAAGCTTCAGCTTCTCCGGATTTGTTTTGTCATTGCTCTGACGCAGCCTTTTAAGGAAGTAAAAACCAGTCTGAGATCTGTAGAAACTACATTGTAGCTGATTATAAATAGTATTCTATGGCTTTAACCTCTGGGTTGCTATCACAGCACTGTGAACGATGTGGAAAAAACCTTATGCTTTTCTTAACTCTTTATCTGCTGAAACTTTCCAATTTAAGCAGACAACTGAGTATAATGGAGGGGTGTGTTCGGATTTCCATAGCAGCTTGAAGTTTAAAAACAAAACAAAAATCCTAGAGGAGACACTTGCATTTCTTTGCGTTCTCCTAATCTAAATATTTCCCTTCTGCTTTTGTAAAATTTAACACTTGTTAAATAAGTAAAAAGATAATAGATAAGCCCGGTAGGGGCTGAGGAGCTTTTGGGTATGAGAACTGCCGAGAGAGAGAGAGAAATACTTTTGTGTTTTGTGTATTTGCAGTCTAAAAATAGTATGTGTGAGAAGGTCTACAGCTGCACTTTTGTCACTTTGATTGAACAAAAAGTCTGTTGGTCAGAAATAAGTACAGAGATGGCCTAGAAATATCTTAAGGAGCTGCTGCAGGCACTCCAAAAATGAAAGGCGCTGACTTCAAAGGAAACTCTGTATACAGAGTTGCAGCATAGGGTCCTTAATAACCAATAGCACTATTGTTTTAGATGCTGTAATGTATTAATTATCACAACTCTGCAGTGCATATTGTATGTGCTGGATGACCTTTTCTTTCGTAACTAAAGTAAGGTTGATATTTTATCTATAATTCATGTGCATAGGGCTTCAGAAAAGGATCCTATGGAAATGAACTGCAGAATTCAGATAGTATCTAAATCATGTTTCTGTCATTTGTTTTTACTGTTTCTCTTGTTCCCTCCCCCCAGAATTTAATCATTTTGCCACCCAGTTAATTTTGCTGAACAACCTTCTTGATGAACAGTTTGGAAGAATTATATGTTAAGACTTTTGTGGTGTATTTAATCCTGTACATGATATAAATGACAGATGTCAGCCTCCTTGAGAGACACTCTGGCAGTCAGTCTTGCCAAGGCTCTTGGTTTTTGAAGTACTGTTTTGTATTGACCTAGAATTGAAGGTTGTGCGCCCTGTGCAGAGCTGGAGGGCTCCTTTGCAAGATTGACACACGTTTTTCTCACAATACAGATGACATTCAGGCAGGCTGGCTCAGCACAGTATTCTTGGAGGGAGTGTTCCAGTGGTTGTCACTGTTGGGTGATCTGTTTAGTCCTAGGATTGACAAGTAAAGAAGACCACTCCAAAGAAAATGTTTCTCCCTAGAAGTTGGTTCAGCAGGAAGAAGTTAATCTTATCCAAATATATTTTCAGATTTCAGCAAAGAGGTTGTACTTTGAACTCATTTGGAGGCCACGTCAGCCATCTGAGGGCCTGCACGGAAAAGGGAGTATCTTCTCCTGCGTGACTTAAGGTTACCGCAGAACTTGCAACATTCATCAGGCACTTATCAGCTAGCAGCCTACTAGCCAAAGGGGCCAATAAAAAATGTGAGGAAATGGGGACCCGCCAGGCAGATCCAAGAGCAATATCCTAGTGAGAGAAACAGCCTACTTCTTCCCAGCTGCTATGAAGAGGAAGATGCTGGGATTCTTACAACGGTGTTGTCCACAGACTATTCTTGAGGATCTCTTTTCCATCAGCCTCTGGATGACAAATTTGAAGCCTCTGCTCTTCCCCGAATTGCTGTTTTCTTGCTCCTCTCCCTTGTCTTCCCCTCCCCCCCAATACATCATGGGGTTCTGTGGGCAAGGATTGACTACTCTGCCACGCCTCCTGACTCCTGCAAAAGTTGGGGGAAGGAATTAAGTGTGTCAGCTGCTCCTCCCCAGCTTTTTTTTTTCTCCCCTTGTGTATCTCCACTGCTTGCCTCTATTACAGATCATACTTTTAACAAGCCTATTTGGGTATGTCTAAATAGCATTTGGGAGCAAATCGGGAGTGAGCCTCCTAGACATAAGAACGGCCGTACCGGGTCAGACCAAAGGTCCATCTAGCCCAGTATCCTGTCTACCGACAGTGGCCAATGCCAGGTGCCCCAGAGGGAGTGGACCAACAGGCAATGATCAAGTGATCTCTCTCCTGCCATCCATCTCCATCCTCTGACAAACAGAGGCTAGGGACACCATTCCTTACCCATCCTGGCTAATAGCCATTAATGGACATAACCACCAAGAATTTATCCAGTTCTCTTTTAAATGCTGTTATAGTCCTAGCCTTCACAACCTCCTCAGGTAAGGAGTTCCACAAGTTGACTGTGCGCTGCGTGAAGAAGAACTTCCTTGTATTTGTTTTAAACCTGCTGCCTATTAATTTCATTTGGTGACCCCTAGTTCTTGTATTATGGGAATAAGTAAATAACTTTTCCTTATCCACTTTCTCCACATCACTCATGATTTTATATACCTCTATCATATCCCCCCTTAGTCTCCTCTTTTCCAAGCTGAAGAGTCCTAGCCTCTTTAATCTCTCCTCATATGGGACCCATTCCAAACCCTTAATCATTTTAGTTGCCCTTTTCTGAATCTTTTCTAGTGCCAGTATATCTTTTTTTAGATGAGGAGACCACATCTGTACGCAGTATTCGAAATGTGGGCGTACCATCGATTTATATAAGGGCAATAATATATTCTCAGTCTTATTCTCTATCCCCTTTTTACATGGATATACATATTGGAGCTTTAAAAATAGCTGTGTAGACAGTGCTTTGAACTTGCAGCTCAGGCTGGAGCTCAGGCCCGGAAACCCACCCACTTCCTTAGGCTTCAGAGCCCAAGCTTCAGCACCAGCCACAACTTCAGAATGCTGTGTATAAACTATTTTTAGAGCACTAGCAAGAGCCTTGCTAGGCCAAGTTTGTCAACCCAGGCTGGGAGGCTTGGGCCAAAAGACTGTGTAGACAAAGGCTTTAGGATTATGAAGAGCAACTGTGAAACCGACGAGAGTCTTGTTGATTTCACTTTGTGGCTGTTTAGGAAAACTGAACAGAAACAAGGGACCAAAGCGGTCCTCTGCAGACAGCAGTGCATTAGTTCACAGTTAGAGGGTTGTTTGCAACTATTAAGAACTAGAAACTCTGGAGGAAAGTTTAAATTCTACAAATTAATAGCTTAAAGTGTCTTTTCTCCTCTTTCCTCGTTACCCTTTTTCTTTCACCTCCATCCTGCCCCTACTTCCCCACACACTGAGGAAAATGAATTTTTCAATACTTGAATTACTGTTTCTAATGAATAGTCTTTTGAAGTGGCATCTTTACATACTGGCCTCCCAAAAGTATTTTTAGCTAGTAGTCATTCATCTTCTGAAGCACCATGTTAATGCATGAGCTTGTGATTGGCTGGCACATGAAGTACGGGTTGGCCTCAGGTCTAATAAAACACTAGTCAATCCTTCCTTCTAAATTCTTGCCCTGTTTAGAGCAGGGGTGGGCAAACTATGGGCCACAGGTCGCGTCCAGCCTGTCAGACCTTTTAATCCAGCCCTCGAACTCCTGCTGGGGAGCAGGATCGGGGGCTTACCCCGCTCCGCGCGTGCCATGGCTCCATGCAGCTCCCGGAAGCAGCGGCATGTCCCTCCTCCAGCTCCTACACATAGGGGTAGCCAGGGGACTACGCGGGGAGTTGCGGGGGCGGCACCTGCGGATGGGGCAACGCGCAGAGCCATCTGGCCACGCCTCCACATAGGAGCCTGAGGCGGGGACATGCCACTGCTTCCGGGAGTGGTTGAGTTAAGTGCTGCCCGGAACCTGCACCCCTGAGTCGCGCCCCCCCCGACCTCCTGCCCCAGTGCTGATCCCCTTCCTGCCCTCCGAACCCCTTGATCCCAGCCCAGAGCACCTTCATGCATCCCAAACCCCTCATCCGCAGCCCCACCCCAGAGCCCGCACCTTCAGCTGGAGCCCTCACCCCCTCCCGCATCCCAACCCCCTACCCCAGCCCGGAGCCTACTCCTGCACCCTGAACTCATTTCTGGCCCCAGCCCAGTGCCCACACCCCCAGCTGGAGCCCTCCCGCACCCCAACCCCCAATTGCGTGAGCATTCATGGCCTGCCATACAATTTACATACCGAGATGTGGCTCTCAGGCCAAAAAGTTTGCCCAGTTCTGGTTTAGAGGGTGGCTGGTGTGTGTGTGGGGGGAACAGGGGACAGTAGAGGTATGGAGATATGTATTCCATGGCCTGCTGTAGATTCCTCGGAAGAGAATTCTAGCCCTTTTTATGTTTTCAACAATCAAATGTACATACATTTGGGGAGGGGGGGGAAATAAACAACCTAATTTGGCTTTTATGTCTTTAGGCTTAGAGTTCCACATTTGTTTTAAGAGACACTGAATGAACAATAACACAGAGATGCCAAGCTTTAAATGCATAAAGCTAAATTTGTTAATAGGTATAAAAGGTACATTTGTATCTGTTATTACCATAGCTCCTAGGAGCCCCAGTCTTAGACCAGGACCCCGCTGTGCTAGCCACTGTACAAACACAGAACAAGAAGATGATTCTTACCTCAAAAAGCTTATAGTCTAAGTAGTTGAGGTACAAACCCTGATTTTGGTATGTGGCAGGAAGAGAAGATTTTAGTATAATGAAAACTTTAAAAAAAATATTGGTACTAAAAAAGGCTTTATTTTTCTTATGTAATTTTTTTCATATCAATGCAATCAGTTTCATTTTAATTTAAAAAGATTTTCATTTCTTCTAAAAGCTACTCTTTTTATACTCTAAGTTCTGGCTACCTTGTGACATCAGAGTTTGTGTGTAGCTAGTTGTATCTTCTATACCTATTGAACAATTAATTGAAGTGTATAGGTATTAGACCTTCAGAATCTGAAATTACCTTTTTGATAGTAAAGTGTGTGTGTATCTACGTATCTGTAAAGTCAGATTCTGAAGGCTTTTGGATGCCTATTGCTCCCACAGTTCAAATAGTTGTTTAATGTAACCATCTTAGATCAGGTAACTTCACAAATATATAATTTGACTAAAGCAATTTAGACACATTTTATAATTAGAGAGAGCACTTACACAAAAGGAACTAGAACTTGCTCATTCGCACGCCTATTTTCTGCTTGTATTCATTGTCCTACCTTTCAGCAGTTACAGCTTGAATCACAGAATTGATTGGCTGCTTTTTTATCCATGGGAATTTCCTTTAATTTTTCTCTGATTTCTGAGTGTCTTCTCTGCAAGATGTTTTAACGATAA